TTTGACTTCTTTCTTTGGTTATACAATTAATTTAAGTCATTATTTAGATTAACATTGCTCATTATATTGAAATCTTATAGCCCCAATGAAGTCCTGTGAGATGTAATAAAATTTCAGTGACTAGTAAAGGAGAATAAATGAGATGGGCAAGAAAAAGAAAACATAAGGAAAATCAGCAATTAATAAGAAAAGCCAAAGTAGATGAGAGAAAAAAAGACAGAGTTGTCATTTAATGTACTTGGTATTATATAACTCCATTAACTACCATATTTCACAATGAAAACAGAGACAGATTTACAGTTCTGCAATTTATATCTGAGAACCACAAAAGGACATCAAAACATGAAGGTCATATTGTTTTCTTTTTCATAATTGCAGACTTACAACATAGCAATAATGGCTTTATTAATTTTATACTATGAAAACTTTCTTTTTTATAGGCACTACAAAATAAATATTTATAAAATCAAGTGAATGGCCCTTTTCTGGCATTGAAGGGATACTATGAATCTCTACCTACATTTATAGAAATGATCTCCACATCAAAACCACAAAACTGGGTTTGGGGTAGATAGGTGAGCCACAAATCCATATCCTTTTAGTTAGAATGTTTCAAAATTGAAGCAAACATAAGCACTTTTGTAAGTTGATTTATATTAAGACTTTGGAGGTAAACACTTTCCTTAGAGCTACAGGGATATTTCTTGCTCTCATATTTTCACAGACATAAAGGTTAAACTGGGCAACCTGGTGCAGCAGTTTTCAACTTGCTTCATAATCTTTTCCACTTTCACACAAAGGAAGGCTTCTTCACTGGAAATAAATTTCAAATTTTTTACCAGCTCCATCCCTTTTTCCCTGCCCATCCACCAATTTGCTGGATAAGTAAAGCACTCTAATATTCATAATATCCATCGCCATTCAACACAGCAAGGGAAGCTAGTCCGTGGGTTATGTATAATTTCCAGCATGGCAATTATAAATTGAAATCTTCCTTCCTTTCAGGAAAATATGCAAAATACAAATCTTTGAATAACCTCCAATTTATGAAAAAATTTGAAAATTTTCAATGCTCTGTTTTAAACAACTAATTAAAAAACCAAGTTGTGACACCTAAAATCAATAAAATTTCTTACATACTCAACTACTCACTATTAGTACTTTTAACTTGGCTTAACATGGGGGATCCCATTTATTCTCTGGGAAGTGCTAATTTTTATCATTACCTAATTTTTATTATTAGTCATTATCTTTATTTTCTGAGACAGGAAACAATTAATTTCATCAAATATGTGACTTGATGAAGAAATACTAAATAAAATACTGCATGGGTACCTTTCCCTGCATAAAAATGTCTGTTCTTCAGTGGAAGAAGTCATGCATTTAGAAAGCTGGATCAATTTAGTTCCAAGTAGTTTAGCATAGCAGAAAGTAGATCCCATCAACAAAATTGCAGCTTAGAATTTTTTCCTTTGACTTAACTCAATCAATTTTTGACGTCAGAAAGGCAAACTCAGATATAGTCAAAAAGAGTCAAATATCTATATTTTAAAAAACGGTAATATGTTTTCAATCAGATTTGAGTATCATTTCATTGCAATTCACTTCTTAAGTTGATGGCAACTCTGACTGAAAAGGTAAATACACATCAATGTGCATTAAAAACTGCAATTTTTTTAAACATCAGAAAGCTAAAAAAAAGGCCCATTTCAAGGTATGGACTAAGATAAACCTATTATATAAAAACATGGGTACATAATTTCAGAGGCTTACCTGTGCATCAGCCAGCATGACATCTTTCAGCATGGGCTGGCCCTTGGGCTCACCATTTTCCATCCTCACATAATGCACTTGGTATCCTCTTATCTGGCCATGCTGTTTGTTGGGCACAGGTGAGCGCCATGAGACTTTAACAGATGTTGAGTTGACAGCCTCTACCTCGACTTTGCGAGGAGGACCACTAGGAACTGGAACAACATCATTGGATAAAAGAAAATTATAGGCACTTGTCCCACCCAGTCAGAGCATTTTCTTTACTTAGGCTTTTTTTTTTTTTTTTAAAAAATGGGTAGACCCACTACATTTCTTTTGAAGAATACAAACATTTTCAACCAATGAAAATGCTTAACCAATCTGCTCTATCTTTTAAGAAAAGATCAAAAAACATGACCAATGCAAAAAGAAAAAATGGAAGAAAAAAAGAGTATCAGAGAAATAGAAAAACATGTAAAAAAATGTACAAAAGCCAAGGAAGATGCTTTGAGGTTCAAAGCATGAAAGCACAAAGAGGTATAGCATTGAAATAATAACAAAAACTGGCTGTTGGTTGTTGTGTGTTTTTTTTTTAAGGTTCTTTTTTAATAGCAGAATAAAAAGATTCTTGATTATATGGATTATCTTCTTTTATTTTCTCGTATTAAAGGTATTCCATACAACAGATGCCAAAAAAATTGAATGTCGAGCAACAGTGTCTCTGAAATATGTAAGACAAAAAGGCAACAAAAAGATAAGAAGACACTTTTGAAAAGTTAACTTCAAAATGTAAAAGAAGAGACCACAAAAAGCCAAGAAAAACACAGAAGACTTTAGGTGGAGATACAGAGAAGGGCTGGATTGCAAGACCAGAGAAGCAAACTGTTCTTTCAAAGGAAAGCAAATTACTGCATTGAGATTGAAAAAAAAAAGAAAAAATGCCCAGGCTGTAGCAAAGACAGGTCTTTGGCAAAAATGCTGAAGTAATAGAAATGCTGGGTAAAAAGTTGAGCAGAGAAAAATGGATTACTGTTAGCCTATCAAAAGACAGCAGACCAAGATTGTGTCAGAGGGTGCAAATTGACGTAGCGGAGGCAACATACCATCTTCATCGGTTCGAATCAACACGGACAAGCTCTCAGGGCCAGGGCCGACATCTGTATGGGCTGTCACAGTGATCCGGTATTCAGTCCATTTTTCCAGCTGTTCCAAAAGGTATTTGGTAGTGTCCGAAGGAATTCCCAAAATCTCGTGAGGCTTGTTATCTTCCCCATCCACTGCAGTATACTTGATGGAGTATTCAGTGATTATGCCATTCTGGTTTTCCACTGGTGGAGGTTGCCAACTTACCAAAATACTAGTGGAACTTGGGCTGGTGCAACTAATGTCTTGAGGAGGAGCTGACGGCTCTTATTTTGGTAGTGAGTTAAAGGAGGATTTAAGTGAAAGGACAGGAGTGGTTGGGAAAAAAAGAAATGATAAAACAAAAGAAAAGGCAAAAATAAATAAATGAACAATAAGGGTAACCAAACGAAAATAAGCCTTTGAAACTTAAATTTTAAACATCAGTTTATGTACCTTGGCTTAGTAATATGAATAAACCAAAAAAAAAATGAATAAATGACCAAAAATAATTGTTAAATAATGGGTGGGGGGAATATGTGAAAATGAAACCTTGAGATAATAGAGCCTCAAATAAAATTACCTACCTGAAATTTAAATTGTTCTTCTAAACCAATCCCTCAGTATCCCCCACCCCCACTAAACTGACTACCCAGCTTCAAAAAAGCTGCAAATAGTGCTAGTATATTTTTTTACTTGAGAGTCTGATGATGCTTTATAGATGTTGTTCCAAGCTTTCACTTCTACATTCTAGAATGAGGATGATTTATATATATAATGTTCATTTGTGAGAGGTTTTTGAAGTATGAAAAGTTACAATAACTGCTAGTGTCCTTCCACCAGTTCCAACTAAAAATAAATAAAATTAACCAAAAAAAAACATAAAAGAGTTCATTCTATCTGAAAAACTGAGTTCGCCTGACCAGTTTTAATGAAAGGTGTTAACCTAACATTGATCGTAGCCCATATACAGTGAGCATGCAGAATCAATAAAGGATGAAAATGCATAGTCCAAGATTTACCTACCCGAGGGTAATGTCAGGCTTGTTGATTCTGACTGTAACTTGTACTTACCCTATGTCAGCTTTCAGCTTTTTTATTATAACTCTTCTTGAGACACCATTGCTAGTGAAGAATTAGATCCCACCAGCACATTTTGGTAAAATCAATAATAATCATCTATCCCTTACAAAATGTCAATAACATAGCCATTAAAAAGAAGTGTTGTTTTTTTTTTTTTCAAAAATAAAGAATCATCTGGAAAGATACGACTTATGGGAATAATTTCTTCCATTTTGTAAATAATTATTCATACAAAGCAGGATTTACATTAGAGTTAAAAGAAATTCTTACTGTCCATTCTAAAATAAACTGGTCACTTTCTGAACAACTATTTTCCATCAAATTAGCCAAACATATCATTATTTGAAAAAAAATAAAAATCAATAAAGAACAACACAACTATTATCATAAATTATTTTAAAGTTATTAATATATTTTCCTAAAGAAAAACAAACAAGTGGGATAAGATATATAAATACATATGCACACATATCTATTTTTAAGGCAATATATATGGCAAAATGAAAAAAGCAATCCTAATTTTTGTATTTGAATGTGTAGTTTGGGGATTTCCTTAGACTTTGTAAGTCTTAATATTATGGAGTGCCAGGTGTATCCAATTGTTTAGAGGATTATCGGTCTTTCTTAATTTACATGCCTTGTGTTCATCATTATAGTCAATCAAAATAAAAAGCTCCCTGTACTGACAAAAAAGAAATCCTCATAGGACAGCCTTGTAAATTTGGAATAAGATTTGCAAAATCACTAGAATATCATATTTATTGATTCTGACTAGAGGTTCTTATATCTCAAATTATGAAACTTTTATATGCATTATAATTATTCATAATAAATTGAGTTGTTCATGTAACAGCAAGGACTCATTTGTAATTCTTTTTAAAAAGCTGATGATTGATTTTCACTAGGGCTACCTTCAGACCTCCGATTTCTGTGAGAATATATTCAACACCATTTGAAACTTTAATAAAATAAAGAGTAGATAAGATTTTGATGTGGTTATAAAAATGTCCATTTAATATCTATGTATGTATATAATGTTAAAAAGTGAGATTTGTAAATCATGCAAAATATAATATCGAAGCATGTAACATTTCTTTTAATTAAATGCCTGGTTTTAAGAAATTATCTTCTACATTATTATTTATTAGCCTTCCCAGAATTCAAAGCAGACATACAGAAAGTACATTAATTTACATGCTTCTGTTTTCAAATGAAAAGAAATTTTATGGGAATAAACTACAATTACTAATGTATTAAGCAACAGGATTCTAATACTTTTCATATGAATAATCATGTTTTGATTAAGAGAGAGGATATGAATTTTATTATCAAAAAACCTTGAAAGATTTCAAGTTTCTATAAGAAAATGAAATGATGGCAAATTTGCTTATATGAAAGGAAATTAATCCTTTAAAAATATAAATTTCATGTTTGCTGATAGGTTTAAATACTAGGTCAACGAAACATCCTCTTGACAAAATTCAATGTATGCGTATTATACATATCTATTTCATATGTCACTATGTCAAAAAGCAAAGATAAAATATCACAAAAAAATTAAGAAAATAACTCCATAAAACTCTTCATGGTAAATAATTATTTATAGATGAATTGTAGATACTTAGTAATAAAAAGCAAACAATAGTATTACAAGCCACCAAACTTTCCATCAAACACAATCTCCTATATAATACTTTTCACAGAACAATTTTCCCTAGGTACAATGAACCCCCATTGTAATAAATACAGCTATGCTTAAGGGTAACAGTTCCAAAAAAAAAAAAAACTAAACCTGAGGAAATAAAATACAATTTAGGATTGCAAATGTGCTTGCTATTATTCCATTATTCCTAAATACAGGAATTTGTCCAAATACAGACATTGTCCAAATACAGATTTTCTGTGAATATTCCAAATTTCCACATGAACTACTTGCAGAGTTAAAAAGGAACAAGTCATAAGAGCTGAGCTTTTCTGAAGAGGAACAAATATGTGAAATAATGACTTGTTTGTTAACCAAGTTAAAGCCTGTGTGCTTTAAAAAGATAAGAGTTTTGTCGTTTGCTGCCTCTTTCATTTGCCAAGCCCTCCTATGATTCTTTGGCAGTGTTCTCAATCTAAATTTTGCTTTACAGCCTTATAAATTTATTAAATAGGGCCTGATCTAATTCCTTCCACCTACTTTTCACCCATCGAGGTCTACTAACTTCTCTACAACTCTTTCAATTTAGGAAGTGGGAAAACGAGATCTGTTATTTGAACCAAGGTTGAAACCAACATAAATCATGGTTGCATTCCAAAGCTGGCCGCTGCCTAGCATGGAGATGACTGACTACTAAGCATATTAGCAGGTTTGCTTGTTGGTGAGGGTAAAAGCTAGTAACATTTCCTAGTGAAAAAAAGGGCAGAAAGTAAGCAAAGAGAGACACCTACTTGACTGCATGGTTCTAGCTGATATTTCCGTAGTAGAAGCACCCAGGCCTTGAGGAGAACGTGCGGCCAGACGGAAGTAGTACAAGCTGTTTGGTTTCAGCCCTTGCAGCCTATACGATATCCCTGGTTCAACGGTAATTCGTTGCTGTAACAAGAGATTCTGGTCATCTTCATTAAGATTTATGCAAATTTTTTATCACAATGTCTGGAACATCAGATTTCTGTCATCAGGACCCTAATCTCATCAAAATATCATAAAAAGAGTTAACAGTGGTATCAAGGGCTATACTAGAGAAATTATATAATGAAAACATCAGAGTTTAAAAGGCAAGTTTCTACAAAAGGTAACTGGAATTAAGGGAAGCCAGAGATCTTTTTAATGTTGGCATAGTTATCCACATGCATCAGATGAGAGGTAGACTGACGGGCCAACACCCATGAGTGTGTTTTACCCTTAAAAATACGTATGTTGCTGTGCAACAGACCACAAAAGAAACTGACACCTGCCCCTGGATAGTGGAACATGCCCAACACGTGCAATTTCAACTGAACAGATGTTTATCTAGCTCATATCTCATGACCTTCTGCAATCTAAATAGGGGGTAAAGATAATAAGACCAGAAGTAGCAACAGTAACTAGTATACAGTTTATAAAAGGTTGCTATAAAAGAGACCTGAATTTGCCAAGTTCTGGTGGGATAAAAATCAGAGTTAGTCACTAAAGAAAGCTGAACAATTTCTATGAAATCGTATCATTACTCTAGGTTGTTCTTAAATAACTGGAAAAACTTTCCTTCTTTTTTGTCTTTTTTTTAATATCGAAGTATTACGGGGGTACAAATATTTTTTGGTTAGGAAAACTTTCCTTCTTACTTTGTAAATATAGAATCCATAGCTTAAAAAAATAAATTCACAAATTTTTCTATAACTTTTATGACTATAAATGACTTTTGAAATAAGATTTCTTTAAGCAAATGATAGAACTCTTTTCATGCTTGAAATTTGCCTTTGCATTTTAGTAAAAATAAGTTATCTATGGGTAATCAATCTTGGATTGAACATTAGCCTATAACAAACATTAAATTATGGGCAAATATATAATCTAGTAATAGCATAAGTAATCTTAAGACTTTTTATCCAATAGTGTTTGCTATTCACACAAACAAGTGAAGAGGAATTCAAATATAAAACTAGAGAAAACATCCCTAGGGTATTCTGGCTTGCAAATACAAAAGGTTTCACATATTTTAGATATACCAAATATGAAAAAAACGGATTCCCTAAATGAACAACAGTAAGGCACAGTAGCTGTGCCAACATCCAAGCATCCATAGTATGCTCAAAGGATTGCCATTCTCCTTCACCTTTTGTATTCATTTATTGTTTTTAGTTTGGTGGTGGTGAAGTTTTAAAATAATTTAATGCTGATTTATGCCTTACAAAAAACACTAATAGCTCAAATTGTACCATGAGTACTGTAAGTCATATCTGCATTTCAGTCATATAACTTTTTAAATGTTTAATTTATAATAGCTTTGTTAGTTAAATTTAAAGTACTGCATTTAAAATCTGTTCTTCAGAGAGTCTCCCCAATTCAAGCAGATGTAATAAAACAGAAGTTTATAAGAACGTATTAATTTATTATAGCATTCAAATTAATGTACCACAAGTTAATTGATAATTGTTCATTTAGTATGTGAATTTTTTAAAAACAGTATTCCTTGTTAGAACTTAGAGGCTGTTTAGCTTTGTGAAGATCTTTTTTTTTTTTTTATTTCAGCAAATTATGGGTGTACATATGTTTAGGTTACGTGTGTTGTCCTTGGTTTCCCCCCCCCATCGAAGTCCGTGTTTCAAATATGTCCATCCTTCGGATAGTGCGCATTGCCCTCCTTGTGTATACAAATACCCCTCCCCTCCTCCCTCTTCCCCCCTCCTCCCACCGCCCTCCCCCTCCCCTAGCATCCACTAGATGTTGTTCTGATATGTGCATTTATGTGTTGATTAGTTAATACCAATTTGATGGTGAGTACAAATGGGTCCCGTTCTGCTGCTCTTGTGGTGCTCCACTTTGGATAATGGGCTTAAGTTTACAATGGAATATTACTCAATCATAAGAAATGACAGTGATCTAGCACCTCTTACACGTTCCTGAAGATCTTTTTTAGTTAAAGAATTCTTGGAGGTATGAGTTGTGGGAATTGAGTTTTGGAATATAGTGTCCTTAACTCTTTTTGTCCTAATATCTATTGGATTTCACAATAACAAAAGAATCATATTTTTTATTATTATATATTCCCGTTCTGAAAAGGTTAGGTGTATCTCAGTATCAATTTCTACAATTTATTTAAAGTGCACTCAAGAGACAATAGACCCCAATGGTTCAGAACACAGACTCTGGAATCTGACTATCTAGATTCCAATGCTAGCTCTTTCATTTACTAGTGTGAGACTTTGAGCAAATTATTTAACTTTTTTCTGTACTTCTATTTTGTTACATGTGAAATGTATTAATAATAGAGGCTAGCACATAGTGTAAGAATTAAATGAGTTAATGAATGTGAAACCTTTAGAACAGTGCCTATTAATATACATATTTATTATATCAATTTTCATTTTTCAGTGACTGTCAGTAATTTTAACACCTTCTATAATCTACTATTTATTTGTAGAGCATACACAAACTTTATAAATATTCACATACATATAAAATAATTTTCAGCATACAAATAAACATTTGCTATGGGGAATCTTTCTCTGGAACTATTCTGGACAAATTTTCTAGCCAAGGGCTTTTATTAACTTATATAGCTAACTTGGTCATGTATCTCCCCAGTGACTTAAGAACTTTAATGTAGAAAAGAACAAACGGAAGTCCTCAAGTCTCATCAAATATCTGTTCTTCTACGACCTGATAGAAAGAAGTTCCAATAAAAGCAGTAGTTGTTTTGTTGAATAATTTTTTTTAACTTAAAGTCTTTTGATGAATAAATCTTTTTCACCAAGATCCTGTATAGATATCTGACCAAGAGCTTGAGTAAGCACACAAAAATAAAGTAGTGGCCCTATGTAATCAATGACTATGAAGGTGAGAAGCTCAATCTTACCTCCTCTCCATGCTCCCCGTCTTTGTAAACCAGTTCATAGTTGGCAATGGTATCTGAACGTGGAGGTGTCCAAGAGAGCAAAATACTTGTTTCAGATTCAGGTTCTGCTTTGAAGTTTAGTGGCTGCCCTGGTACTAAAAATAGGAAGGCAAAGGCTTGAACTCACCATCACCACAAGTATTCACACATTCTTCCCTTAGTGCATCCAGTTAAACCTTTCAAAATGTGTGCACGTGTATCAGCCTCATAGAAAACTAGCTCTCTTACATTGTACAAGTTAGCCTCTTTATATACAGCCCACTTTTCCACCAAGAGGCAAGAACAATGTTAAAAATACTGTCTTCATCCTTGAGTAGAATAGTATCTATTCAAAATATAGTGGAATTAACTAATATAGAATGTCAGCCTCTGAATTCAATTTTAAGGATAGAAAAATTATTGATTTCATAATATTGCTGTTAGTAATAAATGATATAATCTATATAAAGCACTTGAAATATTGCCTAAAACATAACAAATGCTAAATACTTAAAAGCTACTGTTATTTACAACTGAATGAGAACTTATTCCCTAACACTACCTGTAACAATCAAAATTATTTCCAATTAGGTTTATAAAATCCCACCTTTACTCCATTAACAAAAGCTATAGGCAACAAGAAACCCTTTTTCTTACCAACCTAAATTTTGAAAAAGAGGTGAATAAAAGGAAAAACAAAACAAAAAAAACCCCTATCACTTATAAATAATTACTTCTAATCCCTAAATTACTTTAAATTATTTAATGCACTAGACCTAATGCAAACATAGTATTTTCCCTAGTGGCATGGAGCTAAACCACTACACAAATTAAAGTTTACAGAATACACTTATCATCAGAAATATGGTAACTTAACAGAGGTCATCTATAATTCTCATGTTAGTCACATAATCTATGCAACAAGCAATTTGGAAGAGCTATCTATAGGATGTAATAAAGAATGGGAAGTTTATTTAGTTTAAAACACCTTACACAAATGTTGTACTATAATAAGTTTTAGTAACCCAAACTTCCTAGCCAACGTCTAACCCCATTAGTTGCCCTCTATCCACTATACACAAACCTGATTTACGTAAGGGTGTCACTAGCAAATCTAATCTTAAATTGTTCCTGGCCAATGTCTGCTGTGATTGGTTGCTAGTTGTTAATATTGTAATCATTACCCTTGATATTATAGCATATCTCAATGTGCTGTGGCTGAACATACGTCCACATTCCTGCAAGTGTAAATGAGAATTCCATATGTATTAATAATAATAATAAAAAGAACAATAATACTTCACATCAGAGGAGGAAAGAACACCTAAAGTATATTTTTGGCAACTTGAGCATAAACATTTTAAAACACATATAAAATAGTCTAATTTATAGCTGATATATGACATCATAATTTTAAAAACAGTGCTTGAAGCATCATTTTCTCAGGAAAAGAGGCCTTTGGAGATATAAAATGTATTGGTTTCTTTTTCTCTTACAGTCATCTCTCTGTAGTATGACTAAAAAAATGTGCTTGTTTAAAGAGAGATTAAAAGTCTAAAGGGGTCTGCGAGAATGATATCTAGGATCCCTAATGATCATTTTTATTCCTCTGCTTGGTTTTTCAATCTGTGTATGTGTGTACAGGCATGCACTCCTATTTGTACTGAAGCTTAAGGCTACAAATAATCAGTGCTTCATATTTCTAGTCACCTATACCATCTTCTCTCTCTCTCTCTCTTTAATCACAGGCCTTGAGATTCTCATTAATTTGATGCCTCTGGGAACTTATTCCAGGAACAGGGTATCAATTTTTTTTTTCCAGTACCTGCCCAGTGGGTGACCTAACACAATCATTTAGATTGAGAGGTGAAGACAAAAAAGATAAAATATCAAAGAGGAAGAGAAGAAGGGACAGAGGGGAATAAAAACAAATAGGCAAATCACAAAGTAAATTGGAAAATGCATTATTTCTAAAAGGGAAATACCAAAAGCATTGGCAGAAGCAACAATGGAAGCCAAGAATGATCAGAGAAATGGGAAAATTATGATTTGATTTTTTTTTTTTTTTTTTTTGAGACAAGAGTCTCACTCTGTTGTCCAGGCTAGAATGCAGTGGCATCATCATAGCTCACTGCAACCTCACACTCCTGGCTCCCCTGACTCTCCTGCCTCAGCCTCCCGAGTGGCTGGGACTACCAGAGCGCACCATCACGCCTGGTTGATTTTTCCATTTTTAGTAGGGACGGGGTCTCGCCCTTGCTCAGGCTGGTCTCAAACTCCTGAGCTCAAGCAATCCTCTTGTCTCGGCCTCCTAGCGTGCTAGGATTATAGGCGTGAGCCATTGTGCCCAGCCCACGATTGGATTCTAATACTCAGATGGTGAAAGGGTTTCTCAGCCTAAAAATACACACATATGCGTATGTATGCAGTAACTTATTTGTCCCCAGTTTTATTTGCTTCTTTCTCTCCCCCAATTACAAGTCTGAGAGAGACGAAAGCCTATGTTAACTCCTGACTCAAACCAAACCAGAATACAGTATTGTCAAGAATTAGAAACAGGGACAATGCTAAAGGACTGCTCTCAGGATAATAATTGCTTGTTGCCTAATGCTCATAATAAATTGACATTGATTGAAAACATCTTGGAAACCAAATTCACTTTTTCTTACTTAAACTGTTTATTTTGTGCTTTTAATTTATCTTGAGCAAATTCCCAGTTGGTCTCAATGTTTCATTCTTTAGTGACACGAGCTTCGTCTGATCTTCTAACTCTGTTTATTTTGATTACGAACCCCTTCCTTCTAAATAATGAATTAAATATGCACATCAGAGTCTCACAGGGTATGCTGTCCTCTTTATTCTTGCACAAAGTAAGTGTTAGTGAGACAACCTGATGGTAGGTCTCCTTATCTAATATACACGGGGTTCTCTCCTTTTCTGTCAGGGTCCTCCTTTTAAAGTGGTTTAGAGGGTACCTGCGTTTACTAGATTTTAAACTTGTGGTGGAAACACCAATGCCTAGAGGGGTCAGGCAGATCATTTAGATGATTCAGATGAGCGAGAAGGCCATATTCTGCCTGGTGTCTCCGGGAAAACCCGCTCCACGTGAAGAAGGGTGAGAGGTCATGTTCAGTACAAGCAGATTGCTACCTTGTGAAATGTGGGCCCAGTCTTGCCCCAGATTCTTGTTTTTTCCACAGAGATTAATAAATCTTCTAGATAAAATATTTCCATTTTTAATAATTTAAAATTGATAAAAAACACTGTATGGGATAAAATGTGCCTACAGGCTAAATTCAGCATATGGACTGGTACCTTAAATTATCTTTTTATTAATATTATACCAGGATCTAAGCTCATAGCTGGCTTAAGAGTGCCACTACTCAGATGTTCTTGGGAATTGAGGGTCTACCTAAAGGTATTGCTTCCCCAGAGTCATTTTGTTATATTTTAAATAGCCACCATGAAGCTGAGGATTCAAAGAAATTTTTAAAAAGCTGTGAAATAAATGGATGTATTTTTAAATTCCCAAACATATTAGTCCTAATGATCATAGTATATGTGCACAAGAAAACACTTTGGGGGATGCCAGACTATCATATTTGTTTTCTCTGTACTACTTGGAAACACAAGGAGTACTTTCATAATCTGTCAATTGAATTTTTATACCAAATATTGTGGCTACAGAAGTTCTATTTTACACTTATATCAATGCTTTCTCCATAAATAGGTTTACATGTTTTCATTACTTACATATACAAACATACATGTAAACATTTATTTAAATATATATCTTTATGCTCTCACAGTCTTTATACATCACACTTTCTTACTGGTAGTCTTTTACCTTCACTTACTAGTTCTTTGTCTATGTTTATTTTATTTCTATTTTATTTAAGAGCTTTTCCATGTTCGACCATTTCCTTCACCAATTAGCTGAACATAAATGTCATGGGAAAGTCTGAGATTCTTGGAAACTCATGGGCAAATAAAAACAACACATTCAGAATCTCAGGCATTATCACTCTACATTAAAGGGGGACCTGTGATATTGACCATCAACCAAACTTTAGAATCAGACATGGAAAGCAAAAATCAAAGTAGAAACACAAATTTTTCTTTAAAAATTATATTTAAGAAATCCTTATATCCTGTAAAGTTATGTCCTCCCTCTTGATTACTTATTTAATGTCCACAAGGAAATAGAAATATGAGCTATCACGTCCCTGAAATAAGATTATAATCCCACTGATGAATGTCAAGTGCTTGAGTATTACTACAAGTACACTCTATACAAATATCTGAAGGCAACTCAAAAGACAGAATGAAAAAGACTAAGAAATAAAAGGAAAATTTCACGTTTATCTGAAATGCTGATATATTAAAAGAGATCAATATTTGAGTAAAATTTAGGGATTATCTCTAAAGAAAAGTTGGCATATACTGCTAAATGATAATTTCTTCTTGCTGTATTATAAATATATTATCAAAGATACTAGAAAACCCATTGTTGCTAAAACATCTAATACTTTAATAAAGTACATATTTTAAAATGTATATATATAGCATATTGATAAATGATAATAATAACTATAAAAGCAACAGCCAGAATCATGGTGGTAGTAAAACAGAACAAAATTCAAAACAAGGAGTCTGATCGATAATGGCCACAAATATATCATCCACAAAATAGGTACTTAATAACAAGCATCTGTACAAATCTTACTCTCAATTGTCATTAAATATAAATAAGAAAAAGTTAAATTTTATTACAGTTGCACTTACATCCAGTGCTCCTTTACACATTGCTATAACTATTCAAAGAAAGCATTTAAATTGGACTCATAATTTTGGTTATTGGAAAGCAGTCTTTTTGTAGTATGCTTATTTGGCCTGTTGACATACGCTAATGAAATGATTTATAAAGTTCTAGAAACCTAAAGCATTTTGTCTCTAAATGTCATAGCTTAAATTTTTAACACTTTTGCAATGCCCAGAATTTATAGTAGAATTAACTTCTCTAAAATGTTTAGAGTTGATACTACCCATTAGTATTTACTTGGTAAATATATCTAATTCTTTATTGTCTGAGGTCTACACTGCTAAGCTGTATCCATATAAATAAGTAGCCTTTTTCCAATAATCTATTAAATGCATAGAAGAATTAATTAGAGGTCTGCTATGTTTTCTAAAGAAAATTCAGAAAAAAAGGGACACATATTAGGATTTAAGATGTAATTTGTTACGTTTCTTTACCAGAGTTCTGTTTGTACTTCTGTAAAATATAGTTATAGAATGTTCTTATGATAATTATCCACATAAGAAAACCACAGGATGTCCCTTTTACTTCCTGAATAGTGCTTTCTAATAATGGAAATATTTTTGTAGCACAATATAAATACTTCTCTTATCAATGGCCATGCAGTCCCTAAACTTTTAAGGTAAACTAGTTACAAGTGACTGTAATGTCAGAAGTTAGAGTGATGGCAAACTTGGAAGATTGAATCATATTTCTAGGAAATCATCTTAACTAAAATCTTTTCATATTTAAAACCATTTAAAGATTACTTAATATAGTCGATTCACTAATATTCACAATTGAGGGGAAATACTCTCTTGATTGACTATAAGATCATATTCTCATTTTCTATATTACAAGATATATACAAAATATATACATCGATCATCTATATCAATCTTTGTGACAGTTAGAGAAGATCTAAAGTGATGACTGCTCTCTTAAACTCACCTTGTTTCTAAATCTGTTTCTGCAGAGTCTGATTTTAAACAAAGATAGGAATGTCAATGTCAGGCAATTAAAGATAATAAAATGAAATGAGCACCTTTCAGACACAGAAGACATCGACATGTACATTTCTATGTATATGTAATTAAAATGTACTTAAATTCATACATATTATTGATCAGTAAATTTTTGTAGGTTTAGAAGAGATAGAATTGCAATGAAAATAATCATATCCTTTAATTTTATCTCTCTCTAAAAGAATATATCATAATGGTTGTATTTTTTTGCTTAGCAATGATCCTAAGACTTAGGTGGTCAGTTACCAGAAAAAGGAGCAGTGATCCATTAATTATATCAGAAGTAGCATCATTGTATTTGGCAGGTGTCCACTAATATCAAATGGCCTTACCTAAGCGTATAGAACAGACCAAATCACTGTGCTATTTTGGAGGGTTTTCTTAGCCTATTGATCTTGGCAGGCACAAGTCATTATGTCATTATGTCATTATATATCTTCTCAATCAATGGATATTAAAAGTACAACTATTATAGAAAGTTCTTGAAATATCTTAATGTAAAAATGAATTAGTCAAACAGAGAATGCGAATAACTATTCCAATACATGCATGACCCATTCATCTAGATTTTCTAAGTTCTGTCATTAAATTAAATCAGACCTTTTGAAAGTAGAGTCCCCAGATCATAGTAACTCAATTGCTTCTCTCACAATATTATCTTTACCGAGTTTTGATTCAATGTCACATTATGTCCACTGGTAATATTTTTAAAAATCCAAATATGATCTATTTAAACATCACTTCTATATTTTTCAATAAACTGTGATTGAAGGCATCAGTATCATTCAGTGTTCACATTCTCAAGGATTCACATTTTGGTTGAATTTAGTTTACGAAAAAAATTTCGTTTCTTAGATCATTCTATCATCAGAAAATAAAGATGTGAAATGTTGTATATTTCTAAGTTTAAGTTGGTGGTTACAAAACTTATAGCCACATTTAGTGATTGGGTATAATAATTTTTCATAAAAAATGTTATTTCTTCCACTTCTTTCCGGTAAACTTATCTTTTACATATCTAAACATTTTAATGTACTTTTGCACTGGGATAATCTAATAACCACCTCAAGTATTTCAGAAGTAAACTATATATAATTCTCAAAGACAAGAATAAATGACACAATGTGCTTGCCTCTCCTTCCTCTATTCATTTACTGAATACCCAGCAGGCACAAAAACACTAAAATTATCACATTAGCAAATTATTAATCTGAAACATAATGTTGGTTGAAAGTATCCAGGGTCCCTGGATTTAAATTTTGCTTTTCCACTTAGTAATCTTATGATCCAAGGCAAATTCCTGAATCTTTTTTTCCACATCTACTTAATTGGGTTGTGAGAATTAATATATGCAAAATTCATAGTATAGTGCTAGTCATGTTAGCTGCTATTATATTTTACCTATTATGTTATAAAATGTTTCTATTCATTATCTAATCTACACCCGTTATGAGTTTTATTGCATTCCACAAAAATTCATATGTTGAAGATCTAATGCCCAGTACCTAGGAGTGTAACCTTATTTCAATATAGGGTCTTTGTAGATGTAATCAGTTAAGATGAGGTCACTAGGGTGAGCCCCAATCCATGATGACTGGTGTCCCGATAAGAAGAGGGAATTTGGACACAGACACAGATACAGGGAGAATGCTGCATGAAGATGAAGGTAGACATTGACGATGCTTCTACAAACCAAGGAACAAAAAGGTTGCCAGCAAACCACCAGAAGCTAGAGAGGCATGGAGTATACTTCCCTGACAGCACTCAGAAGGAATCGACACTGTCAACACCTTGATCTCAGACTTCTAGGACCTAGAACTATAACACAATATATTCCTGTTGTTTAAACCACCTAGCATGTGGTACTTTTTACAGCAGCACTAGAAAACAAATATAACTACCAAATTCAATAAGGTAGTTATTATTATAGATTACAAAACTGAAGTTCAGAGAGATGAAGTAACTTGTCCAAAGTCATAAAGCTAATAAATGGTAGCTTGGAATGTAAACCCTGGTTATGTTACTACAAGACCAGGGATTTAAAATATACCATAGCTTAAAAATTTAAAAAGCTCAAAGTAGAATGTAAGTTCCCATATGTTTTCTTTAATTATTTAGTGGTTATGTAGCTGCTAAAATAGTATAATAAAAAATAATCTCATAACAGTTGACCACTTTCAGTCAAAAAAAAAAATAAAACAAGATTCACAGATTTCTGCATTTTCCAATGAGAAACTTTTATGGTAAAACTAGTCTACAATATTTTTCTGCATATTAATACAGCAAATAAATACAGAAGAACCGCGAATGGCACACAAAGAAGATATATGGATGGGTTTTAGTACAACTGTGGTGAAATATATATTTTTATAGTTAGCTTTCATACAATGTAGTAAAGAAAATAGTCAATCCATGAATAAGCCATTGAGATCCAATAACAGTATGAAAACAAAGCCAGGCAGGCTGTAAATATGCTCTGAGATTTCTAGCAGCATGGACAAATAGGTAAACACACTGAGTCCTATGATTTATAAGGCCCATGACATGAAAAACAAATCAGTAGTTAGTAAAACACAGGTATCAGTGAAACCAGATAATGGATACATTATCTAGTTCTGACATCTGAGAAAACACATTAATTCATTGCCAAGATTAGCAATGAGTTACACCTATAGATTATGGATACTGTCTCCAATAATATGATTATCATATAGATTCCCAAAACAAGCCAGTGGCATGCTGCCAAAATACTCATAGATTAATGTAAGTTTAAAAGGTACCAACACAATAAGGAATTAAATAAGCAGCTCTCAGATGCTTAAGGATAAACTTTAGAAGAGAACTGATATTTTATTTGCCCAGCCCAAGGCAAATCACCCTGAATCAAAGACCAAAGAGGTTTCATATCCTCTTATGAAAATAAAACCACTGGTATAGCGAAGTACTTCTTCATAAATTCGTCTGACATCTGCTCTAGCATCAAGTAAAACGAGTGAATCAGGCCCCAAAGTTCAATCTGAGATCATGGTAACTGTTTTTCTTCACCCACTGAGGCTAGTGGATGAAGAATTTTAAAACAAAATTAATGCCATTCAGAGAATATTTATTTTTAAGGTAGTAGCTTCCTGACAAACACAAGCCATTTAAATATCTGATGCCCTCTGACAGTTTTATTTTTAACTTTATCTTGAACCATCTAATCTTACACAAATTAAGTTTTTGAGACCACTCTACCAAAGTCACTAGTATAAAGAAGCATAATTTTTCTATTCTTGAAATAGTACATGAAGGAGGCATTCCTCTATCTTATGCAGAAAACTCTTCAAGTCACTTCTGTACAAATTAAAAAGAAAGGGTGCTAGATACATCCCTCTGCTTAAAATGGTTATTTAGTCTTTCCGAGATCCATGCCTGTTCCTTTCTAGATGTCTTATTATAACCCCTCACTTTGAAGCCCTATATCTCAAAAATTAGAATTTATACTATCTTTGTTTTTTCTTTGTGTTTGTCCTTCTTACCTCTTGGCCGCAGCACCTCCCTCCTGCCCTACTTCCCGTCCTGAACCAAACTTACCTCCTGTCTGAGTGATGACTTGTATGTCACTTGAGAGAGGACCATCTCCAATTGAGGTAAAAGCCAGGACTTTGACAGAGTATGTTTTCTGGGGCACTAAGTTGCCGATAGTGGTGATTTGGCTGTCAGCTACATTGTGTTTCATCCAGTTGTTGACATGCTGAGTAGGATCCATCGTATAATAAACTCTGTATCCTTGGATCTGTCCATTTGGCTCCTCCGGTTCCTTCCACTGTACCAAGATGGTGGTCGAACTCAACATCCGCGCCTGGACATCCCTGGGGGCACTGGATGGTGCTTGCTCTGAGGTTTGTGTTAGCACAGGCTCACTGGGAGGCCCCCGGCCAATGTTATTGACAGCAACAACCCTAAATTCATAATCCGAGTAGGGACTCAGTCCAGCAACACTGTAGCGTGTGGTTGCTACCCCATCAATTTCTTTGTAAGGTTCCTCAGAATTTTTAGGTTTATGCTGAATGATGTAGTAAGAGACAGGCTCAGGGTTCCCAGAGTCCCATGTCAGTGTGATGCTTGTAGCTGTGCTCTCTGTCACTACGGGAGTTCCTGGAGGTTTGGGTAAGGCTTGGGTGGGGGAGAAAAAAGACATTGACTACCCAACATGTCTAAACATCTCTATAATGTTGTAAGACTTGATAAATTCTACTGTTGCAATGACAGGATTATGTATCTACTGACGATTTAATTAGATGAAATTATAGCAAAGAACAGTTTTCTAAGTGGTCAAGAAATACAGTAAAACATACATGGGTGACACAAATCCTATTTTACTAGAAGGGCTTGACAGCATATTTTTAGGCTTATATCCAAAGCTACCACTTATTAGCTAAGTGATCCCAGATACATTCCTTAACCTCTCTTTGCTTTAGTTTCCTCACGTAAAAAATGGGAAAAACTGTATTATTGAAGTTGTATTATACAGCTGAGTAACTGTATTTCATGGGTTTGCTATGAAGATTAATGAGCTAATCCAGTAATGCTCTTAGAATGTATCTGGAACTCTTGCAAAACATTAGTTGTAATTATTATTATTATTATCCCAAAAGCCTGGCCAATTAGCCCTTTGCTTCGAGAAATAAGTAATATAACTGAAATACCAATAAACATTGCAAAGAATGAAATTTGGAATACACTGAAATGGAATTAAATTGCTATGAAAGAATAGTATATATATTGTTGTAAGACATTACTAAACTTTTCTTATAATCTAACCAAGAATTTTAACATAAAAAAGAATAGAAATTTCAAATCAAAGTGTTTTTTTCTGAATATGTAAAAATGCTGAAGGTACTAAATTGACATAATCACAAATCATTTTTTAAAGGACTTTACTGTCACAATAATATGCATTCTATATCTACATCAGAAATATCTGGGATTACAGCTGCATGGCAAACATCTGCAATTAAATCCATCTTTTTAGAGATCTAATTCTTTCCTTTTAGCAGAGGAACACAACTCGAAATACTGCTAATTAATATTACAAAACATCTACATTGGTAGCCTCATATTTAAATGCCTTACTGTAAACAATGATTCTGAAAGGCAGTAATGTTAGGGTAGAAAGGGGAATTCTACCAGCTGACTTTTTAGAGAAAACCCAGAAGGTAACACTCACATAATCAGCCCATTAGTATCCCCTGTTTCCTTGTCAACATAAACACAAAAATATAACATCCCCTAAAATGGCAGCTTTTCAAGAACAGCAAACTTGTACCTCTTACTTACTACTGTATTTCCCAATGCCCAGAACACACAGCCTGGCACTGAGGAGGTTTTTGATGACAATTCTTAAATGACTAACTCAGTTAGTACCCATTCTCCTCACTCTCTTCAGCCTGTTCTTTTTGTTTGGATTTAGTTTATTTTTTTTTTCCCCTTCAAGATTCACCTTTATGTTTTATTTATTTATCTTTGAGGTGGAAAGGGTAGGGAAGTGGCAAGAGTCAGGAAAACAAAGATAAGAAGGTGAACAAGCTATCAGTTTAATGTGATTCCTGCCTTTGAATTCTTTAAAGGTCTTCAGCACGCCTTCAAATATTTAAAGCTGAAATGGTCATTATGAGAAAAGGTGATTCAATATTTACATATTACTTGAAGAACTACAGAATGATAATATTTGCCCAAATAAATGTACCAAAAAAAAAATAAAAAGATATTTGTTCAAATATTCTGACCTGGCATTTTTTTTTTCAAGGAAATGAGTGATCCTGATTTCCCCTACTTAATCTTTCTGAACTTTCAAGGCAAATAACAACATTGCTGATTAAAGTTGTGTTTACTGGTATTTAGCTGACATTAGTAGTTTCACCAGGTCACATCTGTTGTGCAGTATAGGTTTTGTGTCTGTAATGTATGGATAAGTACAAGTATGTTTATTATTTTAAGGATGTGCAATACAATATTATTTCAAATGAGTATAAATGTTAATGTGTATTTCTGTTCTCATGTCACTTTACTGGTCTTATATGGCATCTATTTGATATGCATGCTTGGTTGGAGGTATAACACCAATTGTAACATGTATGTTGCATTTTCTAAGATCATACTTTCTAGAAAGGGAAGATAATTTCATAATAGTTCCAAACATTTGCAGAAAACTCCAACTGACCCAATTTGCAAACATTTTCTAGAATTCTATAAACACTGGGTAAAAAACAACTTGGTACCCCCACATACTTGCATTCTTTTTTTCCTTTGATTCAAAAATATTCATGGAATATAGTACTTTGGTTATATTTAGTACACTTATTTTAAGAAGAGAATATTTCTTGAGCATTCATATGTGCAAGGTGCAAGACAAAACTAAAACAGAATATAATGCTAGTTACATTTTAATTTTTAATAGCAGGGCCCAACAAAAGTTTAAAGCATCTATTATTAGATCATGTTAATTTTAATTCTCTTTCTTTTCTTTTTATTTTGTCTGCAGGGATTTTGAGTATTCACTGAATTTATTTGGATTTTACTTGTGACTCTCCTCAAGGTTCTGCTCTACTATGACATCTATATGTATCAGTTCTCCCAGAACGGTCGACCATGTCTAGCATTCCTAATTCTGTCTGGTTAGTGCTTGGGCCCTGTCTGTTTTTAAATATTTTGATGATTACCTCTATTTAGGCTGCCAAATAATTTTAAGAAAGAATCTGTCTACCGAGACACATATATCTTATATAATACCATAGACATGATTAGGTTATGCACATTTGAAACACTGAATAATGAATTGATTCATTTTAGAATTTGGAGGACAGGCTTTCTACAAGCATTAGTCAGATGGCTTGAGTGTACCCAGATCCTCAAAGCATGATCCGTTGAGCATACCTTTGACAGTGATCTGTGCTATTGCTTCAATGACACCCAGTGTGGACATAGCAACACAGGTGTAATTTGCTGACTGTCTTACATCATTCAGTTCTAGGACGTTTCTTCCTATTGGCATATCATCTTCAGGTGTCAGATCTTCTGCCCCCAACATCCACTTCACATAAGGCATTGGTGACCCCACGGCCACACAGGTGATATTAACGCTTCCACCTGGCATGATTTCATGATTAGTGGGTGGGATAGAGAATCTTGGCGGGACACGGCGAACTGGAACAAAACACAAGGGAAGATGATAACATATACAAGGCAAGAAAAAAAGTGGATTGTTAGACACATGACATGCACTGTACAGACACAAACAATTGAAACATTGTGGCTTGTCCAAAAACGAAACAAAGAAAAACTGTGGATAATACAGACCATACAAGTATGGTGTGTGTATACACAGAAGAATTTAGTTTAGTCATTGATACCTTAGACACGTTCATACGAAAGTTGATTCAGACCTACAAGGGCCCCACAAATAACTATCTACATACTAACAATACACAAACATCATGCATAAGATAAACACAAAAACATATACATGCATGCATATAACAATGACTCTATGCATGCCTGTATATGCAGAAAAGGGGGCTGGAAGGGTCATCAGCATGTTTAAGTTGAGTGTCAAAACCAACTTCAGTACTGTACACTTTCAGCTGATGTGAATGTACATGTGGGACCACACTATCACATCCCAGCCCTGGAAAACATCAACTAGCATACACTGAAAGTGCACTTTTATTTGTTTTCAGATTCAGAGTGGATGCAGCCTCACACTAACACTGGAACAAACACAGAAATGTGTACACATCTCATATACAGTCACAGAAGAAGAAACAGGCTAACACCAGTAGAGATACTGGGTTGGGTCATGCAAGGCATGCACAAGATGGAATCTCAAGGCCCGTGCTTAGGATAATGGGAGAATGGCTGGAATCCAAGACAACAATGACAGTGAAGAAATAATGGGGCAATAGAACTAAACACAAGGGGAGGAGGTAAAGTACAATGACTGACACGGGGAGTTAGAGAATGATAAGGTTCAAAGTTGGAAGATATTATATTAAGCTCAGGTTGTTAAAGGTAAGATTTGCAAATTCAGGAAGGAAGCTGGTATTTCACATTCAAGATTCCATTCAATTTATATCTAAGGTAAAACAACACAGATGACAACAAAATCTAGTAAGAGGCTTTTTATGCCTACATTCAAATTGAGGGACATCAGATCTCAAACATACAACAGGACATGACATTAAGAGATCATATTAAAGCAATATAACACAGAGAAAATTACCAAGCAATTACAGTTCAGTGTTCCTGCTTCAGATAATCTGAATGCTTATGTGTGTTTAAATACACGTGTCTTGGACATGGTGCAAGGAGAGGGTGAGAGATAAATAAGTTTCATCTTGGGCTTTTACTGGCAAAACATTATACCATGAGAATTTTAGCTCATTATTTTATTTGCTTTCAGAGAATAATCTTTTGGAGCACACCTTAAATACAGATAACAAAGTGATTTTAAAAAATTATAAATAGACTTATAAACAAACAACCTCATAACCCCAAGAAGAAGATAAGTAAGTAATTCTGTCTTAAAACTTTTTGGCTGCACTCAAGGTTGAGATAAACCTCCACTGATTCGAGAAGGCTCACTGCGATGGCCTCATGGGTGAATGACAGTCATAGGAGAAGAAGAGAGAGCTAAGCATGCCTCCTGCAGCCAATTCACAGAGGTTACACAAAGCAAGCAGGAGCCAGTGTAGACTCTGAGGTGTCAAAGAACATATCAAGAAAAATGGAGGAGAGTTTAGTCTTCATGCTTGGGATTAGGGGAACAACTACAAAATGTCATTCTATGGGCAGCAGGCATCCTTATCAAACAGAAATTAAAGGTGGGGTGGGAGATGGGAAAAGTGGAGCAGGAAGGAAAGCAGGAACACTGATCAAGTTCACTGGACCTTAGAGAGTTACGTGTTACCAGTTACCATGCACCCGGGTACATTCTCTCCCATCATGCACCACAGTTAGATACCACCAGCAAGCACCAGAAGCCATGGCCAGGGCATTCTCTGCTAAAACATACCATTAACCAAAAGAAGACCACAATGCAGCTACATTCATTTCATTTGTATTCTTTGTTATTGGTTTAATTAATAGTTTTGTAAGGTGGGTAAAAAGTAAAAAACACACCAACCTTCTCGCAGCTCTGAGGGATGTAGGGGGTTTGATGCAGAACACAATGAAATGAGGAAAGGAGAAAAACAAGGGAAACACAGAGAGAGTAAAAAGGCCATATCAAGGCTTTCAACTGCTACTTGAACATCTTTATTTGCTCTAGTTCACCCTTCCTACCTCAGCTAGAAAAGTTAGCAATATCTCGTGGACTAACACAGTATTAGAAACAATAGCTAGCATCATTTTGAAATTTTCCATGGAAGAAGGTACACATGCCTCATGCAGCAAAGGAGGTCACCATCATGAGAAAGGGGGTTAAAGGGCTTTCAAAGAATTTCGAGAAGAAATGGTTTTCTCCATATTCCCCCACCCCACACTCCAAAGAAAGAAAGGAGAGAAAAACATCCCCAGGGACACAAAATTATCTCTAACAAAAATTTCAAAATCAAGCTAGATATTTTCTTAAGGGAACCCATCCTATTGTAACTTAAAGCCCTCTCAGTCTTTTTTCTGTTCCCATCCCCACCCATGCCTTTTGTGGTTATTCACAGACATGTAGACCAGGAATAAGAACATTTCCATTGGACGAAAAACTACAGGAGCTGGCTTTGAGAACTCTGGGGAAGAGGAAGCCCTTCTTTCGAGTTGAAATGAAAGGCACAGCCATACTTAAGCTCAAAATTTAACCACTTCTATTAATTTATGAGAAAATATGAATGCATCTTCATAAATCATTCTTATCCCAAGGACAACTAATGCTATATTTTAAAATACAATCAGTGTTCCATGCATTGGAAAAAATTAAACTTTTCAGTAAGTCTTAATAATTTAAACAAATGTGTATACATGTGCACATACATAATACTACGTGTTTATAATTAAGAAAGGATAGGAAGAAGGAAGAAAATACAATGTGCTATTCACATGTAGCACCTGTTTTATAAAGTTAGCAGCTTTACCCTTACAGCTCAGCAGCAGAGGTCATGAAGACATAAACACCTTTATGCTTGGAGTTGCACAGAGAACTGATTAGTAGCACACCAAGCAATCATTTCAGGGTTTGTAAGGAAGAGAAACAACAGAAAAAAAGAGGAAAGAAAGAAGAAAACCTCAAACAAATGCAAAGCACAGTTCAATCAATGCAGTAAAAATAGAAATCAAGGTGTAAAAATGCAAATATACTTACAACTTCAAGCCTCGGGATAGATTATACTCGAGAGTTGTCTTTTTTCTAAACAACATATTATTTTACTTCTCTATTTATTAAAATGCTTCAGCTATTACCAAATGAGCTTGTTAACTATTAACATTAACAACACAGACCCCGTGGGTGTCTCAACTCCCCCTGAGCCTAAATGAAGAAGCGATGCCCGGATGATGTCATTCCTACCTCTGACATATAAATTGGCAGGGGCGGAATAGCGAGTGCCCGCGCTGTTGGTGGCAACACACTCATATTTTCCTTGGTCAGATTCTTCACTCTGTTCGATCTGAAGGGCTCCTGTATGGATATAAAATATATTGCCAAAGAAACGGTCAGAGAAGGCTTTCTCACTTCAGAAAACTAAACCTCTTAACAATATGAAAAGCCCTGCAAAGCGAAGGTCCGCTCAACGTCGATTCAATCTCTTGCTAAGGTGCACAGACAGAAAATGATGCGATGAGAAGAACATATAGAGATTATTTTTTTTAACATCATCAATGCTAGCATAAGAAAACAATATATCTTTTCCCAAGCAAGATTTCTAGTCATAATTAACACTCTTATTTCCTAGACTAATAAAATGAAGATGGGTGAGACTGCTTCAAGGAAGTATGGCTTTTAAATAAAACAAAAGATTAATTTTTGGTTTTGTTTTGTTTCATTTTGGTACCAAAAGTGGCGCAAAAGATAGTATGCTCAAAAAAAACCAGGCTGGGTTTTCAAGAAAGTCTTCTGCGGAAGAAAGCCAAAAATACGCAGCGAGTACAAAAAGGCTGCACAAAGTGAAAAATTAAAATTAGTCATTATAAATTATCAAAATATCACTTAAAGAAACAAAACTCCCTTAAGACATGCAGATTTTTAAGAAAAGAAAGACAGTTTGCCACGACTTACAATCATTTATTAACGTTTGCTGAAAAACAAAGAGCAGTTGAATTAGAAGATTTTAAAAAAGTTAAAAAGCACGGCCTGTGCCACAAGGAAGAGCCAACCAACCACTGCTTGAGGACCTCCAGACGGATCCCCTAAGACACCCATCAAAATCCACCAGTGGGATTAGCAGTGTGGTGTCACAAAACCCCAAGAAAAATACAAAACAAGAATTACAAAAGAAATGCACACTGAGTCAAAGTATGAAAAACCAGCAATACCACATACCACCAAGAATACTGAGCACCTTTTGTTTCCATAGCCTGAAGGACAGAAGATCCAAAAATCCAGAGACGAGTAATCCAAGAAAAAAAGAAGTGGGGAAAAAAGCATCACTGTCAGACTGTAGGCGAGTGGGATCAGGTGGAAAGGGGAGTCATTCTTTGACTTTAAGACATTAAGAGAAAAAAGAATTGAAGAACAAAAGCAAAAACCTTTGAAAGATAAAGACAAAAAGCAGATGTTCCAGGCTGTCTTCTGCATGTCTGCCACTGTTCTCCAGACCACCTTGGCTTTGGTCCAGAACAAGAACAGCTAAGGAAGAAAAAAATGATCTTTTTTTTTCTCCAGTTGGACAAAAAAAAAGGAAAAAGAAGAAAAAAAAAAAAAGAGAAAAAGGAAAAAGGAAGAAGAAAAGAAAAAAAGAGGGACAGATGGTACGCTGTGACTGGTCTGTGGTCTAAAGACCGGGATATGCTTTCTTTGAAGCATATCACAACTTAAATAATCATTTTCATAAAGAAAGAAATGAACAAAACAAAGAGAAAAAGAAAAAGGAAAGGAAAGTTCACAATATGAGAGTCACTGATCATAACCAAACAGTACAAAGAAAAAAAATAAAGTTGATGGACATTATTGGAATGATTCTGAAAACAGGACAAAGATGAGAGGGATGAAAGGACAGAAAGAATGAGTAAGGTCATTCTGTGAACGTTAGTTCAGCACTCTTACCTCTTATTGGTGTACCACCTGGGTGGATAATATGAATGCAAATAAGATTAGAAAGAAGAAGCATTAGTACGAGAAGAAGGAGGCTAGGGCTGGGGAGAAGAATTAAATTAGATTTACAGAATTAAATAAGGTCTTAAAAGAAACTTGAATTACTATACTGGTAAAACAGGAATATATTAGATAGTATTATTAGATCATAAAGCAAGTTGCATTATACCACAGAGGGCAAAGACCACAATAGGCAGCATCGCCTTTCTCAGAGAAGCAACTGAGTTCTTAGGTCTGGGGTCATGTAGGGTTAGAATTATATCTTATATGCCTCATATCCCTTTCAAAAAAAAGAACTGTACAATATTTTTTAAAGACAGTTTAGGAAACTACTAGCTAATTTATTTAAGTATATATATAGATACGCATATATATATACTGTTACAGGAAATACTGAAGACTAACTAGAAACAAACACTGTTGCTTGGATATATGCTACTTATGTACTATGCTACATTTGTGTGATATAACGTGTGTACTATTTTATTTTTCTATACAGTGTTCTTACGATAACAGTTCTGTGGAGGTGTGTGTGTGTGCGCCACTATGGAGATCTGGTGTCTACACTGACAGTTAGTAAAATGCATGCCATGCATTTTATTAATAATAATAATAATATTCTGAATATGGAAATTAGTGGGGGTGAAGTGCGCTTCAGAACTAAGCACTTACCAATAGATTCTGGAGATTTAAATACGGAGAGAAGAAAGACAGCATAAAAATATTATTATATTCCTTATAATTTGGTACAAATTTTTCAGAGTTAAAGCTTTATATACTAAATCATCTATGTTACATGTGAATAATTAATTCTTTATTTACAATAACAGAATGCTAATCTACACAATTCTGCTGACAACAAGCAAAAGAGGAGTTAACAAGACGCTTTAACATCACAGGACAGGTCAAAAGCTGAGAATTCTGGGAAGACAGGCAGTTAAACAACTTAGAATTCTATACCAATATTACTACCAATGGCAAAGTAAACAGCTTATTAGTATACGTCCCCATGAAATTACCTAGGGACAGGCTGTAAAACTTAAGAAATTTAGAATCATCTCTACTTTTAATCTAAAGAGACCAAAGGAATAAACTTGGGATGGGGATGGGGAAGGGAGAAAAGGGTAAAGAGAGAGAGAAAACAGCAAAAGCTGGAGTCTACACCAAAAGCAGACTTCTGTAGATCCAGTCACTGGAGGGTTCAAAAACCTTTAGTGTGGGCGCACACTACTGTGGTTAAGGTGTAGAAATGCTCACTCTCAATGAGATCATAATAGTATTAATAAAAATCCCCTCCTTTCATTGGTACTTTGTAAAGGACTTTTTAAAAAATATATCTGGTTACTCATGAGATAACGTTTCTGTGTTTTATGTATTAGTGAAAAGAAAGCAGATGTGCCCAAACTTACTAAACTTTGGTACTTTGATGAGTTCAAATGGAGAAACGACAGCAGAAAACAGACTTTCATAAAATTGAATCATTTTAGTGCTTAATATGAACATTTTGTTTTTAATGGATATAACCATTGGAACTCCTTGCAACTTCTGAATGAAGTCCAATGTTGAAATAAATTTGTTTCAAAAGAAAACAGAGAAAGAAGAAAGAAAGAGGAGAAAATGGATCCATCAAATACTGCAGAAAAGCAGTAAATTAAAAAATTATCAAAACTACAGTCACAGCAGTGAGCAATGTGGATTAAACAGAAGCTGCAAAACACACAGAGAAGAGGAGAAAAACAGACTCTGAAACAGGCTATGACATCACAAACATGGACAACACAGTAAGTAACAAGAAAGAGAAGAGGGAGAAAAATCAATACCTAAAAATTAAAAATAAATAAAATAAAAATAAAAAATAAAGAGAAAGATTTAAAAAAGGGGGGAAAACAAAACAAAAAAAAACTTGTACGAGTTAGTAGAAACAGTAACAAGACCCTACCTGATCGTAACTGTTTAATACGACCATTGTTGTTGCTTGTGTCCACGGGTAAGAAATCTTTAAACCAAGTGATTTCTGGATCTGGATTACCACTGGCTGCACAAAGCATGGTGGCCGTGCGTGTACGCTCAACCACCTTCAACTGTGGGCCCATGTCAATGGTAGGGAAGCCCCTGGGAATTTGATCCTCTGTAAGACAAAAGGTGATATAAACATTGTGTTAACAAGTCTGATGCCCAAAATTCAAGAGATTTTGCCCATAAATCCCTCCCTTTACCTTATTCAGCATTTATTGAGAACCTAACACCAACCAGGCACCATTGCACTATTAGACAAGGACACAGTCATAATGTTGTTCCTGACCAAAGAGTGAACAGTCTCTCTGAGAGCACAGACGGAGAAGTAATCACAGCATTTGAGCGCGAGCAGGCCAGTGAGTAGCAAGAGGAAGCCCCTACTTGAAATGGGCCTTTAGGAACGAGTACAGTTGGCCAAGTTGCAAAAAGGAAGGGGATTTTAGAAAGATGGAAATGTTACAAGTACAGCACTGAGTCAAGAAAGCTTTCACCAAAGGAAAAGCAGCAGCACCGGCTTAAAGAGCACACAGGGAAGAAGCCGGTGCTGGTGAAGCTGTCTGATTCAGAGCTGACACATTTCTCTTACAACTCGCACTATATCTTTTTCACAGAAGCACAAGGTTCAACCCAGATGAATTCCTTTGTAGGAAGTTTCAGTTAACCAGAAAATTGTCTGAGAATGCTTTACAAAAGAACAACAAAAGAAGCTCCCCATTAATGACACAAAAGCAATGTTCCTTGGGGTAAGGGAATACTTTCCTCTATTCCAAAGGCCTGTGCCATTTTCAGTAATTAAGAAGTTCAAGTTCTTAAATTTTGATCTCTAACTCATCCAAAGTTCACTTCTCCCTTTCTACATCTAATTGTTCTAGACCTTCGCTCTTGAGAAATTAAAGTCCTCTTAAATGCCACAATCATGCCCAACGTTGATAACCAACATTGCCAGCTCTTCTAGCCAGAATTAGAAAGGTGTGTTCTATCTAAGCATGGAAGGAGTTTTAGTTAGACGGGTGATAATTATCCAAATTATAATACGACCAATTGTTTGAAGATCATTATAAAACATGCTGACTTCCAACTGGGTCTGGTGTTAATTTGATAGACACTCCCCCGTGACTACTGATAAATTTTCATGAGCTACTAATTCTAAAATGACTCAAAAGCAGAAAGATCAGTGAGTAAAATGTTAGAAATCATCAAACCCCCACAAGCCCCAATATGATCCATGAATCCACAGTGGATCCTGAATCTCAATGATATCAAGTTACAATTTCTGGTAAAGAAGCTCCATTTTGATTCCTCCACTGTGTTGTCAGGAAACCCTTTGTGTTCCCCACTTTCTCCTCTCTTTCACCTATGGGGTAAACTCAATCTCCTGAACCTGGCTAGCAAAGTAGTCCTTTTAAATCAGGCCCCATTTTTCTCAGCCTCTCGTGGATGGATCACTTCTCCCATTGGAAACATTTCTTCTACTCATACTAAAATTCTCACCATTCCTCAGCAAATCATGTGTGTTGAGTACTCTGTGCTTCTAGGAAGCCACTTGGCCCAAGTCACCTTCTCTGTAAAGCTTTCCCAAATTCTCTTAATCATATTTAATGTTTTCCTCCTCAGAGCTACCACAGCAGTAGGTGTCTAAAGCCACTGTCTTGTACTTATCGTTAGTTTATCCTTCTCTGAGTTCCTCCATATCTCATTTGTATTCAAATCCCTTGCCATCATGCTAGCCTAGATTTCCAGATTTTAAGAGAAACTCCAGTGATTTCCAAGCCTAAGTATGAATATATCCCAGTGATTATAATTTTTTTCCCTACTACACACAACTTCTGGTAGAAAGGTCATCAGAGAAACAGTTAAGGACTGGAGAGATTTTGAATATGAATGTTGAAAGAATGTCAAGATACTATCAAAAAATAAAGCTTTCAAGAAAGAGAAAGTTGAGTAAATAGGTCCAGGTAATTATAAGAGAAAGTTAACGAGATAATAAGGAAAAGTACAGACTCTGGTTCTGCCACTGGGCAGGATAGACAGTACGTATCTTTTACCAACAGTCTGTGAAAGAAGAAAAGAAGGTGTGGCAAGTTGGACTTGACACCTGGATTCAGTACAGAATTATTTCCTATCAGATCATGTAATTATCACTAGGGACTAAAACAATATATAAAAATAGTTAACTTCAACGGCCATATTTTCCTGAAGTTGAAAGCTGTAGCTCTTTTTAGGAAGCAGTTACACATTCTGTTTATGTGAATGCGTATACATCACCAGCCAAGCAGAGGTCTACAGTGGACGAGTGCCAGCAACAGTAGTTCAAACGGAATTTCGAGAGGGTTTTTCAAGGATCTGAGAGCAAGTTAAAAATTAGAAATGGGATGAGGACTACTTTGCAAATTAGGCTATGCTAATTTTAATAATCTATTCCACTTGAATTTCATCAGGCTGTTCTTTATGTCTTTAAAGGTTTTGCCAATATATTTACATCTACAGTGTGGTTCTAATGTTGTTTGGGGTAGGGAAAGCAGAAAGATCAATAGCTGCTATACCACACACATTATATTATTAAATATCTTGCTTGGCACTTATTGACACAACATGCTTCAAAGGATAAAAATAATTTACCTCAAGTGTTCCAAAGTCAACTATATTGCCTTCATCATCCAGGAATGAGTTTCTGAAAAAGCTCTTAAGATTTTTTTTGTTGTTGCTATGTTCGTTTTTAAAGCAACCAACTTAGGTTAATAAGAAATCACTTTGGGATTCCTGAGTGGTTTCTGTATTTCCCAGGGCACTGTATCTTCCCCAGGGTGTTTAACTACTAGTCACATTGGCATGCGTAACTATTGCTCTGCTAGTCATTACTTTTCTTCCACAAGTTCATCTCTCTGAGCCAATATTCAGTGCTGATCAGTGGCAAGTGTCAAAGGCTTAAGATTTTGAGCCACTTACTAAAGGCTCTTACCAAAGAAATCTAGATTTAATAACTATTTATAAGAAATGAAGTCTTCACCGTGGGGATGGCTGACCAAATCGACTTGTGCCCTCCTGAAAGCAGTCTAATAGATTTGCAGGACCTTTCTTTTCCTTCTTGGCTCATAAAGAACACTCTAGAGCCCCCTTTTCATATACAGGAGTGCACAACAAAGATAATCTTTCTTGCATACTAATGGGACAGAGAATGTAAAGAGTGTTCCTTTCTTATTTTTAATAAGGGTAATTAAATTCTATCCATCCCCCCTTTGCACAGAACCTCTTTGAATGTGCTTTCTTCATTAAATTTTCATGAGAAACATCACAATGTAACAGATTCAAATAGCCAGAGCTGTTACACGTTGACAGTTGTGGCTTGTTTCCAATTTGACTGTCAGGTATTTGGCAATAAAACTCAGTATTCAACATAAAACAAACTGTAGAAATAATGAAATGTCTAATTGGAATGCTTATCTCAGTGGGTGTAGTTTAGAAGATGTTAATTGCTTTTTTCTTACCCTCTGCATTTATTAGTGATTTATATAAAACTGCCTTGGCCGTTTGATAACATCAATTTTGACAGCTCCTCAAATGTGTGGTACCAGGAACTTGGGAATCAAATCAATACCCTTAATACCTTTAACCACATAAAACTTTCATAGGAAAAAGCAGCTAGCGAAAATTAACAAATTGTCAATATGTTAGTAGCTTTAAACTTTTACATGAGGTGAAAAGAAAAACATTTTGTCCTATTCATTAATGTGCTCATTAAGCTTTAAAGTGCCTTACTTATCACAGTTCCATATTAATATTCAATCATGCAGAATTAGCTACTAATTCATCAACAATTTAAATCAGACTTGACCTTCACAAAGCGATTTGGTCTGTCATTTTGAGAGGCCATTAAAGGGCAGGTTACTACATACTTGTGCTTAGTGAATCGTAGAGTCATACATATTTTGTTTGGAATGGCAGCTGTAATAGACCTGGAAATATAGCACATTCTTTGAATCTGGTGTCTTAATGAAATATGCTGATATGAAACTTTCAGTTTCATTAAAGAAAGAGAAAAATGAACGTCAGCATTTTCCCAAGTTAACTTCCCACTGTTGTACAACTTGTTAACAACCCCTGACCTACCCAGGACTTGAATCTCTGGGGGAAGTAGTGTAACACTGTTTTGTAGGGAGTCATGCCTTAGATGTCTGTGAATGATTAATAGCTTTTGAATAATTTGCTCAGTTAAACTGTCATCATTGTTAATATGTAAACAATTTTAATGATACTTTTATTTTCGTTCCAATTCCCAAAGACTAAACCTCTCAAATTCAAAAGGAAGCCACGAATCTCTGAATTGCCTGCTAAGGCCACTGCGCCCTTCCAAGGTGGCCCCAATTAGTTCTTCTTCCCTAATCTTGCTAGGGCTCTTGCTGAATGAATTCAATCAGACTAGTTCTTTGACTCTAGTCCCAAAGGATTTAAAGAACTTTTCAATAAAAGACTGTTTGCCATGGTCCTTGGAAAAATCCTGATTTTTCAGATTTGCCACAAATATTTTTATGAATGAAAAGCATGCCAACTACATCAATGGTATGCTTCTCCAAATGCATTATTAAAAGATTTGGCAAGTATACCTGAACACTTAGATTTCATTGACAATACAGAGGTTTTGGCAAGAATGGTAGTACAATAAAGCAATATCAGAAGCTGGAGGAAGAGACAAGCAGCTTTTTTTCTTTCGGGAATTCATCCCTTGGAGTCACTTTTCTGAGTGGCAAACAGTTCTAAGTGGCTCCTCTTTAAAAGCCCCCAACTGGTGTTACCAATAAATCCCTTATTATAGTCAATATATAAGTGTGAATCTTATAAGCTCACAGGGAGGCAGGAGCTATGTGTTATTTCCTTTGTAACCTTCCCAGGGTTCCACAGATACTTGTAATTAGACATGTTTATGATGCCTTGACAACCATTTCAGCACTCACTCACGAGGCATCTCCGAATTCCTACTGCGCTGACTCAAAGCCACTCATTTAAACAGTTAGCCATCCTTCAGTTGTTTTGTGACAATATATTTGGCTTTCTCAATTTGAGTATCATTCTATCAAGACAGAAAACTATCTTATGACCAATTTCTATTTTTTTATG